CGTGCATCTTAGACATATTTGAGTCTAATATATCTAAGATGCACGTTCTCTGTAGCAACACCAAACACTTGGACAATCTCCAAACCGACAGGACTTGAGAGACTTGTTGACGGGTTCTCCACCATGTTGACCATTAGGGAGCATGTGCATGACGATCGCTCTAGAAGGGAAGAATAAGGGTCAAGGCTCACGAAGCAGATAAATCCATGAACACTCCGTATTCGAACATAATTAGGTAAGCACGCAAGAGACGCTCTTGAAAAGAGCAAGCGACCAACGGTATTGGCGTGAGGGTATTGGTCAACGGGAACTCAAGGCGATGATGAATGCAATGTCGAGATTCTACCAACACCCTACTCATGAGACCATCAACTAGCTCCAAGGCTTGGAGTCCAGGCTAACCCTAAGATTCTTTACTTGTGCACTCTACACAATATAGCTTCACCATCATTGTGATGGTGATGATATCACATCACCCTTTTCGGTTGCATTCACTCGAACCCGCGACATGTACTACGTGCTCAAGCGCAGATTTGTATCACAACAACGCTGGCGAATCCATGGCACATGATCACAACAAAATGACACTAACCTGCAATAGAAGCAGAACAAAAGGAGTCAACTGCTATGATCCTGGCCGCTGCCAAGGGCGGCAGTACTACTCAAACGTGAGGTCAGCGAGCCAAGCCATCTCCTGCTCCATTCACTTCCCGTACTTGACGAACCTTTAGTGGACACGGTCCGAGCACTCTCGGATTTTTTAGAGGGTCGCTTCGAAGGCGACATGGTATCGTCAGCATCATCGACCTCATCATCAGATATCTCCCAGTCGTCATCAATCTCAGCATCATTTTCTCCATGGTTCTGTGCAGAAGATTCATGTCGTCTCTCTACAGGAGACCGAGAGTCGCTCGAGCTAGCAGCCGGTAAACCACGATTCAGCGTCCTCTTGCGGCTGCTGATAATTCCGATGGATGACTTGGAATCGTCCAGAGCATACTCCTCGCCAGAGGTCTCGCTCTCCTCTTCCTTGGTCTGCATAATTATTTGCCCTACATCATGAAATAGATCGTGGAATGCACCCGCTGCAGTATATTCCGTTTGCGTTGACCTGAGGTCAGAAACTATTAGAATGATGAAATTGACTTGAAATATTCTCTCACATATTCATCGCAAGATGCTTAGTAGGTCCCTTATAAAGGTAAGCTGATAGCTTGGGCCACAAAACGCCATCTTCGGGGTCGTCCTCCGAGAGCTCCGTCTGGGTGTTTTTGGGAACACCAATGGTAGCACGTCGGCCACATCTAACACGAATCTAGGGTCGTTTATGGGAACGCAGGCATTGCAGCACTCACGCTGTGCAGAATCTCTTGTCAGGCTTGGATGGAGAGGCTTCCCGATCGACTGCTATACCCGAGTCCGCTGAACGTATGAGGGATTTTATAGGTCGATCAGACTCGCTGAAGCTACCTTCCTTCTCTCCGAGGAACTCCCCGACCTCCACTGCGACTTCATGAGCCAGCCCTTGAGCAAAAGCAGCGACCGAGCGGTCGGTTTGAACACCTTTGGGATGGCCCCTAGGAGACGTCCTGAGAAATCTCGCACTAGCATGAGAAATGTACGCATAGTTCTGGGGGTTCGAAGGGATACATTTACTGATGCTAAGACATGCCGTGTCGCATAATGAGGTTTAAAAAGGACGTAGTCAAAGGCATCAGTCGATGACTGCACGCACTTTTCATCGTAGTAAAGGTTCAGTAGGGATAATAGCACGATAACAGCAGAGTGCAATTGGAGAGAACTGTGAACGTCTCACTGTGTCGCAGCTGGTGCTATTGAAGTCTCCTGTGGCACCTCTCCTCGGTCACTCTGAGCTTCGCTGGACTGCCCATGTCTATGCAGTAGGATACTTCAATACATGTCACACTGGGATAGATAGTAGCTTACTGAAGCGATTCGGGAGTAGCCTTGGCGAAATCTCTACTGGTCCCGTCCGCGGACAGTTTTGCAGGAGCCGCAGTAGAAGATACAGGCATTCTGACACACAACACGTCGAGTTTGGGAGGGACGTCCACTGAGGTATTGCTCTGAATGTCTCCTATTTTCGCGTGTATCAACAACGCCTTTGAGCTCATCCAGTCGGACTAGTATGGACTCGTACTCTTCTGTCCTCTGCTTCAGCCTACACAACGTCACAATACAGGGCGAGCAAATACGAGTTGCGAGTTCACTTGTGCTGAAGCTGTGCAATGGCTTGCCGATAGTGGCTGATACAACTTCTGGCGACATCCCGTTTCAGAAGCTCTTGGTTGAGTCGACTGTAAAAGTATTGACTCCTCAGTGATTCGTCTCACTAAGCTCACCTCTCAAGACCTTGACAACGTTCACATTGAGAGTCACTCACGTGAATGCCAGTAATTCCAATTAGTTCTACTTTCCCTGCCGAGGGAGACGAAATGGACATACGAGGGTTACACACAACATCCCTGGCCGGCGTTCTATCTTCATCGTCCCAAGTAAGTGGACCACACGAACGTGATAGTGATTGCAGAAAAAACTAGCACGGGAGAATCGAACTCGAGACCTATCGGTGCAGAAACTGGGTTCGAAGAGTGACCGCTTTCTCGTTCGCTACTGACTCGATGACTAGCACTGAGCATTCTTGGGGTGCACAAGAACAGATGTTCGATCGCGTGTGTCCTGCGAGGGCGTGGGTTCTATTCCCGGCAGGGGTATTCAACCATTTCTCCTGAATATCTCCTTGACTACAGCCGTACACGTCCAGTGTATGTAATATAGCAGTTGTTTCGGTATCTACGACATTCCAAGTTTTTGGTCGAGTGGGATTGTCTGACTCCCGGCTCTCAAAAAATACCATGCTGAAATGAGCAGTGTTTAAACGCACACAGCAAGTATCAAACTCATGATTTCACCCTTGTATATCTAGCCATTTACAATCTCAGGGCTGCACTCATGGGCATTCTCTCTTCGCAGCACGCCGTGTTATTCGTGCGCAATCTGCCGGACGAGTGCTAGACACGGCGCTGTTGTCGGCATTTACTTTTGTGCGCCCCGAAATTACTCGCCCCGCCCAGAAAAATCTCTCCGTGCCCTTTCGCATTTTCCGTCATACTTGAGCTTGCGTGCTAGTTGACGGATGAATTTCTCTCGGTCCCTCGGTGACTTGCTCACGAGTCAGGTTTTCTCCTTTTTACATTCCTAGCAACCTCGACTTGTATCCCGCGTGGCTCCAAGAGATGCTTCAGTTCCCACGAGTCGCCCTTGCCTTCCTCTGGGTGGCCCTACCAATGATAAGTATTGCGGCTTCACTCACTGTAGGAGGGATTTGTGAAGGTAATCAGGGACCAGGGTAATTTGATGTTCACTCTAAGTCGTTTTAGTCTCATCGTGCAGTCCGGCTGGGCTGTTCGTAGGAGTAATTCTGGGCTGGTGTGGACTAGCATCAATACTATCCTTGGGGCCTTTTGTTGTACTCTATAAACGGCAGACGATTCTTCGGGATGACCCGGAGATTCTCCTCGATGGTGCTGATCCTGCCAAGGTCGTAGTCAAGTACTTCGACACGCTATCAAGTGCCGAAGTCAACGCCTCGGAGACCTGCGCGATTTGTCTCGAAAATCTGGACGCGACTGAAGCTGTGAGTCGGTCTAAAAAATGCGGTCATTGCTACCATCAAGGATGCATAGAGGATTTGATTCAATACAGTGCTCGTAAGTCCCCATACGGGCTCCTGCACGGTACGACTTGTCCACTATGTCGTCGCCGTTTGATTTGATACCGTTGGACCTGTGTATACCATAGTAGTATTAGTCCTCCTTTGGGTTGTGAGAGCTCTAGGCTTTCACAGTAGCTTGTATTGTCTGTTTGTCGGTATGTTACGCCGGATTTGTCCATGTATCTCCTATTATCATTACTTTATGTCAAGTCGGGTTCACTCCTGGTATCAACAGTACTATTGCATCTTCTCGAAGAGATCGACTAGTGATGGTATGCGATAAGATTTGTTATTATCGGAGTTTTTCATGCAGTACTCGGCGGTAGAGGATATCTTCTATCAGCTGTTGTAGTTGAAGCATTTCCCCACTTTTTTATCCCGTCTTGATATTGATTTGCCACGACCAACCACAGTGTTGCGTTCATAACAGGGATATGCTAGTGGCGGAGTTGGTTTATGGTTCATCGGAGTTTCACCCGTTTTACGTGAAGTGTCGTAGAACTCGGTGAAAAGCTCGATATTAGTCGTGAAATATGTTTTTCACTAGTGTTTTTCATATCACGGGAAAAACTATGGAAAATCCCCATCGACTCACCTGCATTATCACCAACATTGGGAACTAAGCTGATAGCTCTGTCACTAGGTCGTTCAGGAGTGTTGATGTAGTTGCTAGGAGATTCGAAGCACTAGGATAAGATGAGGTCTCAGATTGCCCTTTAGTATTTTTGTTTTTCATGTTTCTTCTGGTAACGGTTTGTTCTTGACCTTGCTTTGTCATCGGTTACTTCCCTGGGAGTAGCGTTCGAGTCTCAGGTCCTCCATTTTCTAGTTTTATCAATCATTTGTTGCGTTTAGTATAGCCGTTGACTTGTGGTTGGATTGCAGGGAATTCTCAATGGCGCGCACTGCCGATGTCGAGGAATTCCTCCTACCGCTTTTGTTGTGTTTTCAGTTGCGGTCGGTGTTGGTTCTGGTAGGAGCGCCTCGTGCCATGAGGACCCCTATTCAGTGGCATCGTTCTGGAAGAGGAAAACTTATCGTTAGACCACAATATAGCAGTCCAGTTCGGTAGATATTTAACGTCGTTGTAGGGCCTTCTAGTGGAAGTACCCCATGTCTTTGTCTGCCTTCATCACCGACAATCGCCTGGCATCACCGCGTCAGGTGGGCTAGTCTGACCCACCACTTCGGTCTACTCCGTGTGCATCTTTTATAGGGCATTTTGTCGTTGAAAGCTACCCGTCTACGCAGACAAGAGGACGCCGCTCTACGAGCGCGACAGAAGGAGTTCTTCTCCTGTGATGCTAATGAGGTACATCCTGTTGATATTCTCTGGCGTGGTTCGGTACTGCTATTGTCTAGGTGGCGTCTGGCATCATTGACGCCTTTGCCAGTGCATACAAGTCTGTGGCTAAGGAGTTCTCGGCTGCTACCAAAAATATGCAACCTCAAGTGAGTGTAGGGTCTTCGATTCTCGAGGCCGTAGAACGGCTGAATTATGCGTTATAGTGAGAATTTCATCAAAGTCATTACGAACAAGAGTTGGTGATAACTTGACTTCAAAATTTTATAAACCTTCATAAGTGCTTTCAGCCGAGCAATACGACTCTGAACAAGCTGAAATCAAGAACTGAGGAGTCCGCTAGTCTACTAGCAGATGTCGTGGTGAATGTGAGTCCTCGGCTCTCCAAGCGCTGAGCTATCTCTACTTTCCCAGGCATTGATGTATGTGGGGGAAGATAGTATCATCAAACCAATTGAGGCTGGTAAGGTCCGAATGTGAGGTGCCCTCGAGCACAGCTTCAGATCCTGCTAGAGAGTTGGAGGAGTTGAAGGCGTTGGAGGAGCGTTATGGACAGATGCTCGAGGAAACTGCTAAGGTGAGATAAAACGGTAGCTTTTGGATGAGGGGAATTCCCGTACATGTCAGGCCGAGCTGAATTGCCGTAAGAAGAAAGAACGGGCGGAGAAATTACGGAAGTGCATCGAGATGGAGCGCATCGTGGTTGAGAAGCTTGAGCAAATTGAAGAGAGGATGGACTCGTTGCAACAGCACCAGCAAGAGACCAATTAACATGAGCATTTCTCACGAGGAATTGAGTTGTATTGTCCTCAAGAACGAACGCCCATTTTTGATGTGCCCTGCATGTCGTCCCCTTCTAGCGAGGACAGATCAAAGACAACTCCTATGTCCCCCTCATCTAGCGACAACAAGTGAATTGCATAGTCTGGAGAGATTGAGTATAGGTAGAGAAATCTTGAAGAGTGGAGTGGCCTCCCCGTGATTGGTACTGTAGTTCGGCAGTGTCTGTTTTGTCATTGGTATGGATGTTTTCTCTCCCGTGTATGGTCAAGCTGGAAGAACTGCTGGGGCGAGTTTATCGACTCGTCGGGGCTGATGTCATGCCTAGGATATCACATACCGTGATGGAACGTAGCTCACTCACATCAGTTTCGAACTTTGGCATCTGAGTTTAGGATCACGGGCTTCTTGCGCCTCAAATAATAGAATATAGAGCTGTATCGTTATCTTGAGAGATACTTATCGGCTTCGTTGAAGGTTTGGAGAACTATAGCGAGGAGAATATAATAGGGTTGAATCTAGCTCGTCACTAACGGGGTAAACTCAACGTTCCATGTACAGTGTTGCGTTCCCAAGTCGAGAGTGCTCCAATGGTAAACCGAGGTATGAGGGACACGGTATGTTCAGTACACCCTGCGTTGGATCATGGAGGACTCGGCTACTCCGGAAACTATTCATGATTAGCCAGTAAGTCACTGCTCACGATGCGATTTCCCTTGGAATGAGAGAGAACCCTCATTTCTCGAAAGACACCAGCTGAAGACTATCGACCACACGTCATTATTCGGATCGATGCCGCCAATTGCGCTCGTGAGTTTTCGCTATCACTCCCGGTACTGTGACATGAGTGAGTATAAGCTCTGTCCATTTAAATGACAAATGCCCGGTTACCGGGCATTTGTCATTTGTCATTTCTCATTTGTTACCGGGCCCCGGTAGTAAGTTTTTGTAAAGGAATCTAATTTCAGTCGATGAACTGGCTAGAAAACCAGATGTTGCCTACACTATATTCAACCCATTTGGTTTTAACTGCGCAATACATCACATGACCAATTGAAACGAATCAGTGGGTTCTAAACCAGATAATCTGTGCCGGGTCTCAACTCAGCGGAGCTGCTGAGCAGCGGAAACTCGTAGTGATATCATCATTCCACAAGTATGTCCATGCCACCTTGCGAGGGGAGACGGGCCTCAGTTTCCAAACTGAAACAAAATACTAACTACAGCGTTATTCAACATGAAAGAACGAGGAATGCACTGCTCACATGTTGCCTTCGATCCGAAACGACATCTCATCGTACTCGACTGTCATTGGTGGATTGATTTCAACCGTAACAGGATCAACTTTAGTGGAATTGACGATCCCTGGAAAAAACGTCGTCATCCACACCCAATTCCGTGAAACAATGCATCACCAACCTTGTGGAGAACTGACAAGTTTGATCCTGTCGATTATAAGCGGGAAATCCCCCGTGCCAGATTCCCTGTATACGGTGATGTTGGGGCGGTTGAATCTAACAAACACCTCCTCATGTGAACAATCACAGCAGAGGAATCCTACCGTATCTTGTACAGAGCATACTGGCCGCTTGACGTGCTGTTGTAGCTCGATCCATCATCAAGGTATCTAGTGGGTACTGATCATGTTACTATGTGATGGGACTACTGCTTACACACAGCCCTTTGCTCTATGTGATTCGGGGTCTTCATTGATCCACATAGTGAGAGGGTCGACTTCCGAGCCCTTAGTTGAATCCCGAACACGGGCTTTCCGTCTGAAACACAAGTACGATGCTTACAGCGACTAGCAGGAGGAAGCCTTACGGTATGATACTTCCGGCACGGTAGAATCTGGGTATCTTGTCTAGAGTGACAGCCACTGTTTGCATAGACCCACCGCTGATGATCTGAATGAGCAATAGTGACTCAGAGTTTGCTGGAGTTACAAATACCTTGTGATCATCGTCGTACCACTGAGTGCCAGCAGGGAGATAGACTTTCACTTCCGACACATCTTCCTCAGTGACTCCACGTACCAATATATCAGTACCAAGAATCGCCTGTTGCAACGTGTCAACTCTCACATCATGCCTCAGAAACTCACCTCCTGATTCAAGGCTTGGTCGTACTCATCGCTGTTGGAATCGAAAGTGTTGGCATCATGCATATAGTCGAACCACAGGGGTCTTAACATAGGCTCACCGAACATAGAGTAGCGCGCGAACAGAGTGTACCAGAAAGGTAGTAACTGATATCTACGAAGGAGCACCCCTAAGTTCGACTTCGACGAGAAGGAGTGCCACTTACCTATCCCGAACGGCGTCACGGAATCTCTTTAAAGTGCGGTCATCGTAGAGCCATGGATCTCGGGGAGGCGATACGATATCAGAATGGAGTCTAAGGGGGGACGATCAGACAAGACACTGGCCCACATAATGCACCTGTAGAATACACTCGTTGCAGCTGCTAGCTGATTCCATCTCGTAAGAAGCTCGGCAGAGGGGAGGCCAGTGAAACCACCCACATCAGATCCCGTAAAGGAGTATCTTGGAGATTATATGAAGGTGTGGTATGATGGAATAATAATTATCTACCCTCCAGGTGCTGAGAGCGTCATGAACATTGGAAGAACGGCCTGTAAGTTGTCCCACTGTGACAGGCTGTCGCCGTTCCACATAGGGCCGAACCTGGGGGCAAGAAACATCATACCACGCTCGGGTCATCTCTGCATTAGTCACCTGTGACTTCCCACATAGAAGCTCCTTGTGAGTACAAATGGACGTTTGCCTGGACGACGATACTTCAGATGACCCTCGAAAGTCGCCATACGAAAGTAATGACCATAACTGTGATGTCAGGCAGGAGATCACTGTACATGCTCATCATGGCTTGCTTACGCGTTGTGAACGTCACGATGTTCTACTTCACCCGCGTGCACGAGATCACGGTTCATCGTCATCTGAAGTTTGGCAAACCGATGTGGAGGGAACTCCTAGGGCTGTAACAGAATGCTGCTGAGTCTCACCTCCATATCCTGGAACACTGACGGTTCGTTCATATCATTCCAAGTATAGAAATACTCATTCACGCCATCTGGCTCGAATAACCTGTGTGATTAATAGAACCAATGATGGTAAACCATCATATCAGTCTGCTTACTTTGCCCACCACTGCCGTACTCTAGGGCTGGTAAAATCTGGCCAGGCGCTGACGCCAGGCCAGCAAAGACCCTTGAAAACCTCGTCGGTATAAGAACCACACTTTAACTGAAATTGGAATTTGCCACACTTCCTGATCGAAGAATGCTCACCTCGTTTTCTGACTTTTCATCGTCTGCACCACGCAGAGGACCTAAGAAGGTACTTCAGTGAATTGTGCAGCGGACACGGCTCACTTCTGAGACAATCAGCTCGACCGTTGCAGGTGTCGAGATTGCAGAAATACCGCTCCTTAACGAAGACATCTTTACAGTAACCATCAAGGTATATAGGGTAACTAAGGCAGACGTCAGGATACGTTGATATCATACTGAGAATACCTCCGAGTCGCTTTTAAATGCGGATCCACGATGGTAACCATTTCCTTCCCGAGGGAGTTGACTCTTTGTACCATCTTCAAAGGGTCAGGGAACAGAGTCTGATTCCATGTGAAGTACCTGTGATATGAGTTTGAACGAAGATTCCGACTTGAACATACCTACTGCTTGCCGTTCGTGTGCTCTATGTCGAGCCAAAAGACATCAACTGGAATGTGAAGGTCAGTGTAGTTGTCTACGATATCGAGAATATCTCGCTGACTCTGACCAGCACGAAGGACTATACAAGAGCTGACCGTCCTCGTTGATACCCACCTCATAGCTGTAGTGAGAACGATGGAAGCCCAGGCTGAAGTATGGTGGCAACGGTGCATATCCGACCACGTCATGGTACGATTTCATAGCCTAAAATGTATTCCTTGTTTCGTGGCGAGTCCTGTCTTACTGTCGTACTGATAGAGTTGTCCGCTGAGGGAACAAGAAGACGTCTATTACGCCCGATTCAGAGAGGAACCAGGAATGAATCGAATCTGAACAAGACAGACCATCCCAACTGATTCTCTGCAACCGCACACGTTAAAAGTTCACGACTACTACGAAGATATATGTTCACAGTGAAAATTCAATTCAATAGCCGACGGTTGCCTCACTGTCTTCATTCCTCTCCAAGGCGATGTAGGTGTCCGAAGGGTTGACCCACAACATAGAGGACCGGACAGGGGCCTCTGATTCATCAAGGACCTAACAAGGAAGTGTGGCCATTGTAGAGACATGAACGGACGCACTTGTAAGGCAGTCAAAGTGGGAACAGTGCCGTAGAGAGCTGACGTGCCCGAATCAACGGAGTATGCTGCATAGCCGAGGTTGAAAAATCTACGCGAATAGACGTGAAATGATATAAGGCGAGAGCATATCTAACCGGTAGAGTTTGTTATCGTCATCCCCATCTATCTTCAACTTCAAGCGTCGAGTCCCTTTCTCGGGCAGACCATACAGTGCTGGGACTCTGCCGTGGAAAGTTATGTCCAGCGCCACTGACGACGGGCCTGGAAGAGAGCAACGAATCTACCACGACGAGGCGAGGAGAGCGAGGAGGCTAACCATGAGGCTTGTAGTCTGTGAGTTCTCTGTATTCTTCTGCCCAAGTTCCGGGATGCTCTTGTGGAGTACATGCAGGATCAAGGTATAGATCTTGCGATTGCTTGATCGCAAAAGGACTGAGGGAAAGATTATCTCGTCTCTGCGTGGGGTGACCAAGAGGGTCTCCCAAATCTGCACTGTTGCATATAGAGTCGCTAAGGAGTCTACGAGCCACAACGATCAGCGTATGAATCAATAAACGTGGATAATTACGAGCCGCGTTCTGAAAATCTCAACTCACCATATGTCCCCATAATGTTCACGAGCACTCTCGACCACGAACAGCTGCTTCTCGTTGATCGTCTGCACCACCCTACCATCCACCATAAGGAAGATAACCTGTCGTTAGAATCAGCTCAGAAAGGCAAAGCCGAAGAGCAACGTACCACTGTATCATGATCCACTTGTACTAGAGTTGAGTCACCAAGATCGAAGGTAGACTGTCGTGCCTATCGTAAAAGCCACGAGAATCTTCCAACACTGGGGACAGTGCACTCCCTTACCTGTTTGTCGTAGCTGTATCTCACGCTGCCATGTGGTTGTAGCTCAGAATCCTGGATAACATCCCCACTAGGGATCCGATACCTACTACAATACTCGACCTCAGAGAAGAACAAATCCGATAAAGCTACCTTCTCCTCCCATTTCCCACCAGCTTCTGATTTTCGTCCACAATGAAACGGACAGTGTTATCAGAGTAAAAGTGTAGCTGAAAAGGCGTTGAAAAAGTCAATTACATGCCAGAGGTCAACGGCTCTCACCTCCGCCTCAAGAATGGGCTCATCAAGCTTCTCGATCTTGGCGCTCCTCACAGGCACTCTGTACACTCCTGTGCGAGCGGCTTGCAGTTCACCATCTGGAATCTGAGTGGGCAGTGATGTTCCCGACACTTCATCTCTTTGTTGAACATGGATGCATGCAGCTGACCTCCCGTACGTAGTATATTCTTCTGTTATCAATAGGGAGGTGGGCCCAGTCTCGAAACCTGTTGCAGAAACCATTTTCGCTGCAGGTCCTGTGAGTGTTCACCAAGTCTTGGGCGAACACATCAACTATCGGCAAAATCAGCAGAGAGAACCCAAGGAAGCGCATTGTGACAAATTGAAAAATTGTGAGATGTCAACTATGGAAGGCGGAGAGCAATTTGTGTGCAAACCAAAATGCTCCGTAAACTCCGGGAGTGAGAAGAACTAGCTTCTGGATACCTCATTGCAAGGAAGCTAAGCGTAGTATCGCAGAATCGTCCAGTTGACAGAAATGATCGAGCGGCTCGTATCACGCGCTTTCTTGGAAGTAGTGCTTCGTGGGTCCCACGCTGGAACGGTTGCAAGGCACAGGTGATCGGCAACGATCCATATTGATAACACCCGTCTACGACACAAGCGCAAGATACATCACTGACGCGTATTTCGTCTTAAATTTATTCCGCGGTACCCCAGGGGGGATATTGGCTGATCAGGGCTTTGGTCGAAAGCTATGCATGTCTGCGTATTGCGTAGAGCATACAGCTCTACAAGATTCAGTACCTACCACATATCGTCTTGAAAAGTGTGAAGAGAGTCGTCGTTATGGACGTGTTTTGAGTCAAAACACATAGCACACAAGCCTAATCAGACGGCTGTCCCCATTTGCAGACGGCCGACTGTAGACTCCGAACTGTGGGAGACAGTATGCCACTTCGTCAAGGAAGATGAGATCTAAGGAACCTCTACTAGAGATTCTCTAGCGTTCACGGAACGCTGCTACTTGTGTTCATGTTTCGAAGCAGACTACTTGTGTCCGAACTGTATCTGCGCATCCAGCTGTGAATGCCTACGCGACGTAGGCATAGCCCTACCAACTTGTATGGATGGGCAGAATTACGTTACCGACCGTTACGGCGCACTGGATACAATGGATAAAACGAGGATTGAGCATTCAAGTCACCCCAACCTCTTCCATGTGAATGCCCGGCTAGGCAGTTTCGGGCCAGTCAGGGAGTAAGACGGACGGAATTTGAAAGGGAGATGAATGGTCAACGCGGAACTAAATGTTAACTCTCTCAACGGTTTGGTCGAATCCCAGCCACCAGATATGAGTTTAGCAAGTTGCTAATAGCAACTATCTGAGCTACGGTGGAGTACCTTACAACGAATGTTTCCGCCACAATTCCAAGAAGCCCTTGCCGTAACCGTAAACTCCTTACGTTACGCACACCGTAACGTAAACCGTGAGAAAACGTTACGCTGCCCATCTATAGTATTAGCTGTCACGAACATCCCCAGGCTGCGCTTCAGCCACGCCGGCAGTTATAGTCATCGTATCATACGACGACTTCAACTGCTGAACGATTCATATGTAATCGATCGCGCTGGAGGTCGATTAGAGATAATCATAAGTTGCTTCTGAGACTTTTGAAAGCTGCACCCTTCAAGATAATTCAACTTACATCCTCGAAACGTAGTCTTATGATATCCGAACTGACTTCATGTTTCGATCGTGAAGTCAGTTGGGAGATCATTTGCATCGCAATGCAGAGAGCTAAGACGAGTCCTACCATGCGCATATGGTAGGAACAGAAGCTGGCATGAACATGTCATGCGTTCGAGGTCCTCTCATACCATAACTCATCATCTGCAAATCACAGGTTCAAATCAACGTGCATCCCAAAAGCCTGCCTAAAAGGCATTATTAATGCCGCATTATTACTGACAAATCAACCAGAACACGTCATATACGAATGAATGAAACTTAGAAACTCTCTGGAAGTGACCTATCAGTCGTCCAGTACTGCTGTTAGATCTCTCAAAGCCTCAACGAAGCGCGTATGCATCTCAGCCGTGTGACCGAGAAAAGGGTCGCAACCACCTAGGGATGCGAACGTTTACTTTCTGAACATGACAAGCGAAGAACAACGCTCACCGCCGATCATCATGCCAATGGCTTTAGCTGCACCACGTCGGAGACTGTCTCGAGATGTGATGTCATCCATCACTTGCTCGGATGATGGGTACTCCTCTGATGCAGCAGCAAATGTCTCGGCATACACTTGAAAGAGTTCCTTCATATGAGCACCTATGGCATGGTAGAGACGCTGGAGGTAGAACGAACATAGCACATGCTTACGTCTATCGGCAACAGCCATCGAACAAAATATGAAGAAAACGATGTCGACACTCGGAGTGTCGACTTCAGGGAACTGATGGTCCACGATAGATATCTCCATCGTACCTATTATATTCATTTTGTATACTGTTCGCAATTCACCGGCCCAGTTACCATCCTCACGCCGATGAGTCATGATATTGCTGCTCCACATGTCCTCATGGGCAACAACTAGTATGGCATCGCCAATCGTAAGTTTGCTCGGGTTTCCGACCATGACATCCTCGATGTACTCCCTCTTCTCAACGATGGCTTTCCGACATTTCGAATCTGTTCGCCTTCCATTCTCACATATGTTCTCTGAATGAGTCGGCTCTCACCTATCAATGAGTCGCCGCATTTCTCCAGATAGAGAATGCCCTCGTCGAGAATTCTGCCCATGACATGGTAGATCGTCTCACGAGGCTTCAGAAAGCGGGCTCGAGCCGCCTCCACGGGCACTACCGCATGGAAGTACGCCAAGGCCTTGATACACTGAAAATGAACAGGTCGCGGCCTCCGTCTTGCCGAGGACATACTTCAGTCGCCAGTGAAAAGCTCATTGGGTCTTCGATGCGGTAGGCCTCGAAGTGATGGGACTTCACCAAATTGTCCATTGCGATCATCCGATCATCACTATAGTAGAGTCCAGGGAGGTACAAGTGACAATCAGGAATACTTCGAAGCTTCTCTGACGGCACGAGGTACGCTGGCGGACTTACCAAGAGAATTGAACTCACCGTGAATTCCGGCCTCATTGTAGAACGCTAGACAGTTTTGTTCTCGATCGTAGACATCCAGCTCGAGACAAAAATCGCGAACAGGGCCTTCGACCGGCAAATACTTGACCTAAACCCCTGGAATATAGGTATTATTCACTGAGTAAACCGTGGAATATGATCACACGGAGATACCACACGAATATTCAAATTACTCGCTATAGAGCTCTACAAATATCGTAGTCACCTTCGAATTAATCTTCCACGACGCTAGGAAAATATAGAGATCAGTAGAAACCCGTGCATTACGAAAAGAGACTCTCCATCGTTCGTCCTAGCCTCGTACTGGTCACTCAACAGACCGTCCACTCCTTTAGCTGGGTGGATGGACGAGAGGGGAACCTATAGGCGATACGGGGAAGTCTACAACTCAGTGACCGGATTCAGCCCAACACAAAATGTTGCGAACTTGAATGACACAGCCGAGCTTTGACAGTTCGATTGTTGAACACTCCACCAAAGCGACTACAGGATATTCGACAAAAAGTGCTTCTTGCATATTTGTCTTATAGATTCTGAGTAGGAGAATGAGGGTAGGGATGACGAGACCTTCCGAGTAGTGTAGAAGCCATTCCCCTACTCTCAGCCGTCAATGGGAATTGGAATTTATCGTCAACCAAACCTCTTACAATGGAAGCAGCGGTCGCATTCCACGACCTGTGGCATAGCTGCCCCAACAGTTCGAAGTTGACAATCATATGCTAAACTAACGCCGAATTATCCCAATGACATCATTTTTGATCGTTCAAAAATGTAGGGGCACCTATCCCACCAAGCCGTGTGAATCCAACACCACCCCATTGCATCATTTCTCGTCGTTCAAAAGTGTAGGGGCACCTATGCCACCAAGCCGTGTGAATCCAACACCCCCCCATTGCCCCATTTCTCGTCGTTCAAAAGTGTAGGGGCACCTATGCCACCAAGCCGTGTGAATCCAACACCACCCCATTGTCCCATTTCTAGTCGTTCAAAAGTGTAGGGGCACCTATGCCACCAAGTCGTGTAAACCCAACACTTCCCCCATTGCATCATTTTTCGTCGTTCAAAAGTGTAGGGGCACCTATGCCACCAAGCCGTGTAAATCCAACACCCCCATTGTTCCCCCAAATTTTTCGCAATCGAAAAGTTTCGGCTCCTTACCAATTGACTCAGAATACTTAAATGATTTTCACATCGTCTGATTACTCTCGTTCAATTGTACATTATCGTCAAATTACATCCTCGTGTACAACTTCTATGGAGAATTACTCGACAAAACAGATATTTTGAAACACCCCGTATTTCGATAATGCTCGTAGTACCTTCAAAGCTGATGCGATGTCGACCATCCGCCTGAGCTGTTCGACGGATGCTGTGTTGTTGAGCGATGCTTCTTGGGTATTGGTCATAGATCATGAAAATCAAATGATAGCCCTGGTCAATCAAAGGTGACCCCGATTGTGCACGAGACCTTCTGCAACAGATGCGAAACCGTGAGGATATCTGGCTTCTACAACGCGGTACTATGGTGAAAACGAAAGGCAGGCAGTGGCTGGAAAAGATCAATTTGATAACATCGACCGAGAAAATAGTGAAGTTCACAGGTGGATGATGAGAGTAAAGGAGATAAGAGATGTTTCGCAGCCTCGTCACAGCTACTGCACCTACCACGATGAAGAAAGGTAACATTATATTACACATGTACAGGAGAAGTCCATACGAGGACAAAAAATGTTCCACAATTACTTATTCATCAGAGCGACTCCTTCCTCTGTACATACCAGACGAAAGCTCGAGTATATGATAGCCTTTTCGTAGTCAACCAAGAAAAAGTCGCTGATCCTACCAACCGTAAAAGCAAGTGATGGGATGGTCTTCCGCAGAATCCATTTACTGTAGATGTCAATGTATACAGAGACGAAGCGCAATGCGTCGCCACCTGGTAAAGGGGTAGAGCAGTACTGACAAGATACATTATTCAGACCAAAATAAACTCCCAACGTTTGAGCCGATTTAGGCCCTAGCAAGGGAACAGGAACGACTAGATTAGCCGGACAAGTGATGAACTTCATACGCTCCATAAGCATTTGAGTGGGTGTGTATTGTGTAAAGAGCCTTTCATAAGCCTCATCATCGATGACCTCGGAGAGCGTTACCACGATATGATCGCCGAGACCCAGCTTGAAGACAAAATATCGCTTCTCAGGGTTTGCCATACCCATGGAGACGTAATCAGAGAAATATGACATGTCAGAATCGAGTTCCTCTTTCGGTCGTCGAACCACTCTGACTTTGATAACCTCCGACAGCAACTGCGGTGAAGGGCCCAAATCATTGGCGATCTTCGCACAGTCGTTATGGGCCTCGCTCCACCAGAGATCGTTCGGATGATGCGTTAAATCCGTATATGTATTTACTCTCTTACGGAAGCCATAGAACGTCCTCAATCTCTGGACCTGCGCTATCGGATCAGGAGCCTTCCTCGCAGCCTCTTCTTCACCAACCATTCGCTTCGACAATTCCTTCACCAGCTTATCAGTGCTTATAGAACGAAGCCTCTTCTCATCGGAAGAGGACGATCCCTCGTCTCCAGATAGAGCTGACTCGAAACTCGCGGAAGATACAGATTTGGTCAGCTTGCTAGCCACCACCATAGTCTCCTCCTTTCGTGAGACGATAGCTAACTGCTCTCCATTTTCTAATGCCGGAGGCTCAGAGCCAGGAAGTGCTCCAGCCAACGGAGGTCGCTTCAGCTCGGCAGCAATTTTGACGGGCTCTTCAGGTTCCGGCGTAAGAGCCATGACCTGTGGTCGAGAGGTCCCCGACTCGGCCCTCGATAGGCCCTCACTGGAGGCTCCTCTAGACAGCAACCCCGTCGTCCTAGTTTCCTGCGTATTCCCACTTCCCTTTAGCTCGCTGCTCTCCATGGTGGATTTGGCTTCGCTGCCTGACTCCTCGGGAGGAAGTAAGGGAACCGGCTCGAGGATCAGAGTACTATGCTTGCAACCCATTTATCAGCTGAAGTCAAAGGTAGTCTCTGCGAAGGAAATATAGATAACCCTTTTCCACAAAAATGCCCAGTATGTACGGACGAAGATCACCAAACTCCCCCGTGATTCACAGGATGCACTATTGAACATCGACACAACGCTTGTCCCTCCGAGGGACTCCCTCGGCGCATGTCGGGACCTACAAGATCTACCTCCCCATTCGGCTGTGCTACATCTTCGTAAGTTGAAATGATCTCGCCACAATGACGGCATCGTCACCTTAGGCAACCGTGTGCACGCGTGCAGAGTTCGAAAAGTTCAGCGGTGTGACATGCTTCACAAAAATGCTAAATTTCAGATGCATCAAATAGCGGCCTGGGGAGTTGCCGAAGGTCGCTAGTGAGATGGCTTGCCGAGCTCCCTCGAGGGTATTCCTTAAAGCTTTACTCGAGTTGAAAGTACTATGAAACAGGCTCTTACGATGCTTCACGACATACTCGAAATTGAAGCCTCCAATGGTCATGCCAGCACTTCCGTTCTAACATTCTCTATATGGAGTTGATACTTCCGACCTCTATCACGCTAGTGTACGATGTAGTTAATTTTATATTTGAACAAGAACTAAGCCAGGTTGAGACATTTCCTGAGATGCTATGAAGTGGCGCGGTTCCCGACGTGTCATTGCTCGGCTGCTCGGACAGGAACCCACTCATCGCGAATCTACGATGACCTATGTATCTGAAAACCTCAACAATGAAAGTGTGTTGTCTATGCTCTGTAATGGATAGGGTCCGGAAGCACCAACAGTTAACCATTTCATACAGACGGAATATGAGCCTATTCGCTCTCAGTTTTCTCCACATTTGAGTTTTTGCGGCCCTATGACGATGCGGGCGTTGTTGATCGCTCTTCTACCCGGCGTATTCGCCGTCGACAGCAGCAAGTTCAAGACTTGCACCCAAAGTAGCTTCTGTGATAGATATCGGGCATGGACGCGACTGGCGGAGGGCACCAGGAAGCCCTATATGGTACGTCTTCAGCAACTACTTCTTGAAATTCAGTGTCGATATATATTCGCTACTGAAGAGGGGAACATTCATATTGTTCTTTTCTGGTCAGGTACCACGCACGGACTTGAAGGAGATTTCTCAGTCAGTTTTCGAAGGCAGTTTGCGGCACTCGGCTCTGCCCAAAGACCATCCCGCACCGCTCACTTTCCAGGTAGCTGAGTGAGTCCATCACTGCAGCAAGCCCAATCGGTTGCCTAGTTACGTTTTTATGACGACAATACTATACGTTTCACCGTCGATGAAAAGGACGAGGTCGTCCAGGGTGTTCGTAAGCGGTAAGTGCGGTCGGCGATGTCAGAGCCTTCGCTATGCGCATTTGGTCAGCTATAGAATCCCCGCGAATGACGTTATTCGCGAGGACCGACTAAAGCCACTGCATGGTGTCAAGTACGTTTTCGAACCCAGAGTGAGTCGGCAAGCAGTTGGAAAACCTGTCGTTTAAGTTGTTGTTGTTATTCAGTCGGCAACTTCCACTTTCGATCTTGGTGATGCTACCACACTTACGTTGGATCATGACAAAGCGGTGAGCTAATGCCTTCTACTCTGAGTGGACTGGAATCGCTCCGGAGAGATTCCACAGGGTTAGCTTTTATCTTGTTACCTCTCCGTCGAGGATAGCGCTCTAGGGGTCTGTATATTGTCGTAGTATCAAATTCTGACAACAATGTGATATAATCCTACTTTATACCGCTTGAAGATAAGGATATGTGCACAAGTTTATTACGCCTATATCGAGGGAATGATAGTGGCTCATAGTAATTTATAGTTATCCATTGGTATCATTCGTGAAAGCCTCGTTGCTTTCCGTATGTCGGATTTGATCACCGCAACGTGATGCATCTATGCATTCCGTACGTGTTCCCTCACTAGGGCACAGCTGATGCGTTGTTGTATAGTGTCCGATCTTAGATTCTCGCATTGTCGGTGGATGGCCGTATCGTGCAGACGATCAATGGCCAACAGCAGCTCGTTGTTGAGGGCACCAGACGACAACGAAACGATAAATGGTAAACACCCATAACTGTCACTAAATTACTCACGCGCTCTCCAGCCCCTACGGACTGGCGGACCTTTCCGACTCCTACATCGATCCTGCTTGCTCCCCTGGGAACCACTCGGGCTTATGGGAAGAAAGTTTCCACAGCCATACGGACCACAAGCCCTTTGGTAAGAGCATTCGAGTTGACCACAGTCGACATTTGTCACGTTAAGGCCCGTCTCTCGTGGGTGTCGATGTGACATTCCACGGCAAAGTCCCGGCAGCATACGGCCTACCCGAACATGCCACTACAGCACAGAAGCTCAAAGCTGGTGGCGATGAGGATGATGCTCTCTACCGGTGAGATAGGGCTACGCTCCGTTATAAAATGTCCACTATAGTATGGCGAGAATCCCCCTCTCCAGTTCGCCGCTCAGCCGTTGATCTAGGGAACTCTTAGGGGTTGCTGATCATTTGTTATGTCAGCTTCTACAACCTGGACGTGTTCGAGTACGAGATGGACAGTCATGCTGCTATCTACGGGTCTATCCCTATCTTAACTGCCCTACAACGGTTCGGGGGCAAGTCGAGCGTAAGGAACATCCAAAGTGTTGTGGCCATCAGCACGTGTATAGGACATCGCCACTACTACTACCACTTCGTCGTCGTCGGTGCTTTGGCTGAATCCATCGGACACGTTCGTGTCTCTAACTCAACGTAAAGATACTGGGACATGGAGCTCCTTGATAGAGGGGCTCATCTGTAGGAATTCCACACGCAATAACTGCCCAGGGATGTTCTCACTCACCTTCCAGTATCGTTTTCATTCAGCTGGATCCTCTACTGCTGAGCCGACGTCGCTCACTTCATGGTTCGTCTCGGAATCGGGCATCATCGACCTCTTCCTCTTCCCGCAGCGGACCCCTCAGAAGGTCAGCTTGCCGAGTCCATTTATGTCGATAGTTGTCTCCATCGTAGATACTCAATGCATACCACTCTCTCACCGGTTTGGCCCCTCTGCCGCCATTGTTCAGTCTGGGAAAGCACCAATGTCGATGGAACTATAAGGCAAGCTGACGGTCCGCTTTGTCGAGAATAGATAAGGACGAGTTCAGGACGAGTCAGAAGTGCGGGAGCTGGTGGCTAACTTCGATAAGTACAACATTCCAGTTGATGTGGTATGGCTGGACATCGAACACACTGATCATAAGAAGTAGGGCGGCAGCAGCAGGCTAGTCTACGGGTTGGTTGAGGCACTTGTTCTTGATGCAGGTATCATACATGGAATGAGAAATACTTCCCTGACCCGAAACAAATGCTTGAGGACCTCAAGGCTGGTGGTCGAGAGATGGTCACTATTGTCGACCCTC